CCCCCCCCCCGAACTCCCGACCCCCCCGCCCCGTTTCTTGACTGCCCCCTCCAGAACCTCCCTGCCCCTCTTACCCTGCTGCTCAGAACAGGGTGTTGGGCTCTGTGCGAGCCGGACACGTGGCTGCGCTCCCCAGCACAACACACAACCCGGTCCCTGGCCCTACACAGTGCTGCTGGAGGGGGGCGCGGGGCTGCCGGGGAGGAGGAGCTGCCGGCTCAGATTGCAGGGAGGGAGGGAGGGGGGAGGAGCTCCTCTACAGCTGCTCCGGAGTCCAGCCCGGGACTTTCCTGCAGCCCTCCCAGCCGCTCGCTCTGCTCTGCCGGGGGAGGGGGGAAATCCCGGACATTTTGAGTGATTTACAAATTCCCCCCGGACGCTATTTTTAGCACAAAAAGGAGGACATGTCCGGGTAAATCCGGACGAATGGTAACCCTAAGCAGCTCTCATTGGCCTGGAGCAGCGAACTGCGGCCAGTGGGAGCCACGATTGGCCGGACCTGCGGACGGGGCAGGTAAACAAACCGGCCCGGCTTGCCAGGGGCTTTCCCTACACAAGCGGTGGCCCCAGTTTGAGAAATACTGCTCTAGCCCCATGTCCTTTGTTCTGAGGTACCATGCAGGAAAAAAAATGAGTATACAGCATACATATTTAATCTGAATATTTGTTATTTGTTATTTTCCCATTATATGTTGTGGAATGTATTTGCAAAGTGTGCAAAGACCACACCTGAGAGTGAAATGAGAACAGTGTTACTTCAAATGAGCAACACTGGTAATCAGAGGAGTCAAGAACCTGGCAATATTAAAGCAAGCCTTTGGCTTAATCCTGCTGTCAGATATTGTACGCTGGCAAGCACTGCTGTACAATCAGTTACAGTCCCTGAATATGCAGGCCATGTATCTGATTCTACAAGACATGTGGAGATGCACATGCACATATATGCAATTTCATCATCAACACAAGTGAAATGAATATATAGACTAAAAATGCTCCAGTTATTCAACACCAAAACAGGAGGAGAGAGGTTTTAAGGTAAGTTTTGTTTAATAGGTTCTTTAATTATTTTGCCCTGCAGAAAACAATATTGACACTGCATTGGTAGTTTTTGTTAGCATTCAGCAGATTTTGACACAAAGAGGAATGCTCTAGTCGGAGGCACTAAATTAAAGATGTTCAGAGTCTACAGATGGAGGTTTTTAAATAATAGAAGCTGTTTTCCTCATGCTCTCACCCATCCTTTATGGCAAATATCAGTCCTGCAACTTCCATGAAAACTTTTTAACCTATTCATTATTTAACAGGGAGGCAAACTGATCCAGCAAAGAAATGTTTAACACAAAAATCAGTATGGATGGATACTTTGTAACATGGCACATGAACTTTAAACTATGTAACATTAAAAAAATTGTGTATTATACCTATTCATAATTGTACGGTCATGTGACATTTATGACTGTATGGGTATAAGAGAACTAGCTGATAACATATGGCACTGATTATATCACACATACACACACACACACTTCATCACTGGAAATTGTAATTCTGCTATAGAATAGTTACTCTGAGTATCAAATTGAATTTTTGGAAACAAATTTTCAAATATGCCATCTGAGTTATGCACACAAAATCTGCACATACAAAATAAGTGACTGTACACAAACAAGTATTTGTGATGATTGTAGTTGGGGTGCACATATGCATGTATTACAGACTCAATTTGGTGCCAAAGTCTGCTCCCAGCTTGTTTATGGAACTTTTTCTTAACAATGAGTGAGATAAAAGCTGTACGAAGAGGCTGCTGTATGGATATAACTAAGGGCAGAATCTGACTTGTTGGATTTACATGAAAGGATGGAGAGCACACTTACTTCACCAAGGAACTACAATAAAGCTCCTTTTGTTTCATAACAGAAACCTACAATATACCATATACCATATATGATGTTGATCCAACATTAGCAGGAATGGTGCTCAACTAGCAAAGTCTACGAAATCCAAAAGCCATCAAGATCTGTGACAATACAAATGTACAGCAAAGTAGATTTTGCTAGCTGAAGGCTATCTTTTTCACTTTATACATTTTGAGTAGAAGCTTTAAAAAAATCTGTTTAAAACTCAGTCAACTTTGTTGTAAAAGTAACATATCTGAGCTCCTGATAGAACTTTGGTGACAGTAGCACTGAAATTACTGTTAGAATCTGTTCTCGCTTCTCCTGATATGGTTCGTATCCCTGTTCAGACAGATGGTCTCATTTTTACAGTATCATAGAGCCTTGGACTATATGAGGCAATTAGTGTAATCAAGGTAATTCTCAAAGGTGTTAATATTAATGAAGTGAAATAATTTATTTTCATAATACATTTTCTATAGCTTGGGGGAGCACAGACAGGAGAATGACCTCGCTGCACATTAAGCAGGAAAAGGTGTGTGGCCCCTTTGAGGGCTAGAAAGCCAGTGACTTGCTGCGGCAACTTCAGCCCAGGTCAGGGTGGGGACACTGACAATTCTCCCCACCAAGTGACCAGAAGAGGGGGGTCTATTTAGGTCCACACTGGAGCAGGAAAAGCCCTCTTTTACCAGGACCAAGTGGAGCAGCACCCACACTCCCACCCCTGGGACTAGTTAAATACCAGGGTTTGTCATGATGGGCATTTTCACACCCAAATTGCACACACTGTGTGAATTATGCTAGTTGGTCCTCTCTCAGTGGGCTAGGAAGGACTTTTTTCCCTCAATGCCAGATGGGCCAAGGTGACATGGGGACTTTTTTCCTTCCCACAGCAGGTTGGAGGTTTAGTTGGGGTGAACATGAAATGGGGCGGGGTACGCTGTGATGTTGCAACTCATTATGTAGGCATGGGGAGGATGCCAAGTGAAGGTACTCCGTAGGGAAGGAATACAACAATCAGATGAAATGGATTGGTAAAGGATTTAGAGGAAGTATTCTTTAAAGGAGCAGAAATAGGAGGAGGTTGGGGCTCCTATAAGTGGTAAGAGAGGGAGGCAAACCCCTCCCACCCTCCATAGCCCCCCTTAGCCCTCATTTGGGGGAATGTTGCAGGGTCCCAGCAGCAGGTTGGCTGGGGACCAGGATGGGTAAAGGGGGGATATGTGTAAATTATACTATCAGGTATACGTAAATGACTATGGCATACCTGCACTGCACACTTTTATCTGCCAAGTACTCCCAGACATTAAGGAATAAAGCTGCAGATTAATTAAAGCACATCCAGTGTCTCCTGGCCTTCTTCCGGCATAACCGGACAAAGTGTAAGAGCGGGCCTACAGGCAATCGAGCTCTTCTACCTCAAAAAGAGTGACATTTCAGGCAGGAGCAGGGGAAAATTGTACCCATCAACATCATTAAACAGTGCAAGTAAAGTTTAGTTTTCTAATAATCATATTCTAATAATCTAATGATCATTCCCCTCTATTCGACATTGGTGAAGCCTCATCTGGAGTACTGTGTCCAGTTTTTGGCCCCACACTACAAGAAGGATGTGGAAAAATTGGAAAGAGTCCAGCGGAGGGCAACAAAAATGATTAGGGTGCTAGAGCACATGACTTATGAGGAGAGGCTGAGGGAACTGGGATTGTTTAGTCTGCAGAAGAGAAGAATGAGAGGGGACATGATAGCTGCTTTCAACTACCTGAAAGGGGGTTCCAAAGAGGATAGATCTAGACTGTTCTCAGTGGCACCAGATGATAGAACAAGGAGTAATGGTCTCAAGTTGCAGTGGGGGAGGTTTAGTTTGAATATTAGGAAAAACTTTTTCACTAGGAGGGTGGTGAAGCACTGGAATGGGTTACCTAGGGAGGTGGTGGAATCTCCATCCTTAGAGGTTTTTAAGACCCGGCTTGACAAAGCCCTGTCTGGGATGTTTTAGTTGGTGTTTGTCCTGTTTTGAGCAGAGGGTTGGACTAGATGACCTCCCGAGGTCCCTTCCAACCCTGATATTCTATGATTCTATAATCACACTGTATCTGAAACTGAAACTACGTTTTTTGGTAAGCACTTGCATCATCATCTTTCTTGTTGTAAATACCATAATGGTTGCTTTCCATACACTGAATGCTAGTACCCAACATCTAGACAGTCTAAAGGAATAGTTATGCTTTCTTTTCATGAAGATGTGCCTACCTGTTGTATAGAAGAATATCTGGCTTCCAAATCTGACCATCAGGAAAACGAACATTCTTCACTCCGGGGTAGTCAGACATATTCCATTGTAAATAGTAATCTGTCCAATACTGACACAAAGAAATGTGTTAGTGTCACTTTTTTCCACTCGCTACCTCTCTCTAGGGATTATCTAGCCCCAACCAAAGTTTATTTTTATTTTAAAAGTATTATTTAGCTTCAGACAATGAAATGTTTAGAAAGAATGACTTGAGCCACCTTGAAAATAACACTGCAAAGCACAAAAATTCCATTTTTAGTTCACAGTGATTGCATACAACAGCCTACAAAAGCAGGTTCAATATGCTTGTATTTTATTGTTCATGCTGTCTTGAGCACAAAATTGGAACAGAACAGATTTTTTTTTTTAATACTAATACTAATTCCAATTACATTTTGCTTCTGAGACATAACTTGGATAGTTCCTTTTGTTAAAAATGATTGGATTATGTAACCATTCAGAGGCATTTTGGGTATAGCAGCCAAGAGTCTCTACTGATAAGGGTTACACTACTGAATTTCCAGCCTCTAAAGGGAACAATGCACATCTACTACAGGAGAGAACGTCTGCAATCAAAGAGTTTCAGTCCATGTTTTTCACTCTCAAAAAAGAATGTTAATTGCTGTGGTTTTGACAATTATGGACCCTATCCTGAGAGGTGCTGAACACAACTCCCATAGATAGCTGCTCAGCCCAGTGCAAACAACAATGGTCAAGACCTAGCTTTTAGTTCAGGGTTAGTTAATCCTGTGTTGCTAGCAGGTCTGGATCTGTCACTCTTTCAGCAATGAATGTAAAATGCATTAATGTCAGGGATCTCATCTCCCACCATCAACTGTATCACACTTTGACTGCAATATATTTTAGTGACTATTTTTTAGGAAATGAGTCAAAATTGGATAAAATAACTGGCCAGAAATGGCACACAAATTTTTCCAGAGATTTGCAAAAGTTCAATTCACTTTGTTTTTAAAAATTGAGTGTGCACAGCTGCTGTCCTGGTTTTGTGTCACGAGGAAGGTTGTTCTCACAATATTTGGCCCAGACACATCACATGGAAACATCCAGATCAAAATTCAGATAAATTCCAATAAATGGGTCAGGGTTTCGAGACCAGGGCCGGCTCTAGGATTTTTCCTGCCCCAAGCAAAAACAATTTTGCCCCCCCCCCTTTTTTTTCTTACCCCACCCCTGGCCCCGCCTCAGCTCCGCCCCTTCCCCAAATCCCCAGCCCTGCCTCCTCCCCCCAGGCTCTCAAGCCTAGGAGGGAGGGGGAGAAGCAGCGCGCGCGCCGCAGCCACTCAGAGTCTCCCCCTCCCTCCCAGGCTCTCAATCCTGGGAGGGAGGGTGAGCAGCGGCGCGCGAATCAACTGTTTCGCACGCCGCGGCCGCTCAGGATCTCCCCCTCCCTCCCAGGTTTGAGAGCCTGGGAGGGAGGACGAGCAGCGGCACGCGAATCAGCTGTTTTGCGCGCCATGGCGCGCGAGCGGCAGCAGCGGAGGTGAGCTAGGGCGGCCGGGGCACATTTTTAGGGGCGGCATTCTGGCGCCAGCCATGCCGCCCCTAAAAATGTGCCGCCCCCAAGCACCAGCTTGTTTTGCTGGTGCCTAGAGCCGGCCCTGTTCAAGACCCACTTCTGTTCTCCATAAACAATACAATCCCTTTGACCACTAAGCTGCGAGCAGCTCGCTCACAATTTGAGGTAACCAGCAGCCATGATATTTGGGGGAGAAGGGGAGTAAACAGCTTAATATCAGATTTAAACTGTGGTTTTCCATACACATGCATCTTACTGTTGAAACCACTCTCCATTACGTCCTGCACAGCATAAATAAGTGTGGGAGACTCAAACCCATAATGTGTTTAGCTCAAGCTTGACTATTATTCTAAGAATATCTGAGCACCAACTGGTCAACAACTTTGAGAGGGAAAAGATCAGCTCTTGCTTCAGACCACCTCAGTCTTGAACTGCGTGGTGATAACAGCTCTTGGGGATACTACAATTTATATTTGTACATACATCAACTATTGAGACTACATCTGTGATACCGCCATGCTTAGCCAACAAAAGGCAGCACCATGTTGCACCACACTGCCAGCACAAAGAAGCCCTAAAGCTGGCCTAGCCAGCCACTGGCAGATCACCACAATGTAGGGATTCTTCCAGTGGCACAACTGGCATAGCAGTTCCTAATAGCTCCTTGCAGACAGCACAGAAAACAAGGGACATGACCAGCGGCTTCCCTGTTAGCATATCTTAGTTGCTATAACAGTCCCTTTGGAAAAATCCTCTTTGCAGCCATTGTAATTTAGAGAAGTCCTTGGGCTCCTCTAATTTACAATACGAGACTAGTCTGGCACATAGACAGCCTAAAATTGGGGGGAGCAGAAAGGTGGCTTCAAGTTGGGCTGAATGCTTCTCAGCTGTAGACAAGGATCTAGAATGTGCATCTGGCTCTTTCCTTGGTTTTTAAATGAGTATGTTCACTATGGAGCATTTCTAGCATTTCCTGTGTAATGACCTCTCATACACTTAGCTCATCATGATAAACCCAAAAAGGTCTAGCACTAGCTAGAAGTATTGACTTCTCTTCTGCCCACTCTTCTCCAATTGTCTCCTCCAGCTGCTGAAAAGCTATATTTTAAAAGGGTTCAGGCTTTAGTCTGTCATATGCTTTTGTGGCCAGAATTATGACCAGTGTCACAGTAACCTCAAAGTCTTCATCAATATTATCCAGTACAGAAGACCTTTTAGGCTTAGCAGATCCTTGTAGCCCTAAGTCACCTAAGCACATACTTAGAGGTATTGCTGAATTGGTGCCTCAACAGAAGTTTTTTTCCTGGTTACCATTTAATATCAAAGACTATCATTACAAGAAGGCTTGCAATGGCTTATTGGTGACCTGTTCCCAAGAGCGCTTCTGCCAAGCCACATGAAATTGCATACACTGAGAGCTTTACAGGTTGATTAAACCAAAATAGGGCATGTAAGTGGCTTTTGAAGTGTTTTATTTTCTTGACACTGAGCTTGCACTTCACCCCATATCAACTGGCATTTTTGTCAGGAAGCAGAGGTAGTACACATATATGCAATGGGTAGGGGTGATTATAGTATGATACATGCTCATACCATGAATCTTTGAAGTGCATCTTTCCCTTGTGGCGGTTCCATCGCACAAAGAGCTTCTACATTTTTGGTAAGATTTAACATTGTGTTCACTGAACATGTGGACAATTTCCTTTTTAGCTCATATTGGCATTTTGCTTTAACTTGATTTGATTTCTCTCATAGTTTCAATGACATTTTACATACCCTTTCATTGTGCTATGCATCGCCTGTTCCCCTGCATTAACTTCCACCCAAACTAGCCATCAGATATCCTCCATATAATACTTCAGTACTTGCAGGGCTGCTCCAAAGCCAAATGGCAGGCCTTTAAACATAAACTTTCCAAACAGGGCATTAAATGCACACAGTATGAAATTTTAATCAGCCAGTGGCACTTGCCAAAAATCTTTGACAGGCATTTAGAACAGAAAAAGATTTACCTTGGGTATTCTGGAAATAACATTATCTATCATTCTCATGGGGTAGCATTCACATCCAATTGCTTTGTTTAAATCTTTAGGGGATAGACAAATCCAAATTCTACTTGAGTTTACCACCCTCATCAGTCTGTTGCACCAATCAGAGTCCTATTACTCACATTCAAGTTTTATTTTATTTTTTTAAACATTTTGCTTTAACAAAATTGTGTTGTTAGAGTAGCACAGTTTCAAAGTGATTAGTTTTGCTGCATGCTGTACATGTGACACCATGTACTGGACACTTTTGCCTTTTCTATAGTCGTCGCTATAGAGTTTGCTGAAATATGTGCTTTTCACGCTTTGTCTAATTTGTTTACAACACTGTCAGCCTGACAAATGATCTGAGCAGTATGTTGTTTAGTCCTTTAGCTCTACAGATGTCAGTTGCTTGACGTAGACTTAAATCAGGATATCTAAGTACCTTTGGGGGGTTTCCCCCCGCCCTGCTTATTCCACTAACAATTATTTTTAATCAAACAGTCTGAATTGCTCAAGTTCCATATTTTCTATAAGCTGAACAATTATTTTCTGTCTTCCAATTTCTGCTAAAGAACCTTACCTATGCCAGTTTTTATAATGACTGCATTATGTCTGAAACCTTTTAATTATTTTGTCATTTTTAACTTGTCAACTTCCGGATCCCTTTGAAAATAAATATGATTTTTTTTTGTTCCTTCCCTTCTTGCAGTGTGTAGCAATGTTGAGTCTTTCCCTGCATCTGGATTTTTGATTGAGTCTACTAGCATGGACACATATTTTACATGTGGAAGCAGAGTCTGAATGAGCTCTCCCCTGACATATAGTGGTGAGCTGTGGAAAAGGACTTCAGGAGCTGATCTCATTTGCATGGACACACCCACCTCGCCCAGCTGCTCAGCAAGATGGTATTGCTTGCCCAAAGGATCACTGGTGGCTGGTGTTGGATCCCCAGGCTCCTTGTTATTGGGGCAGGAGTAATAAAGGGTTGTTATCCTTGTTGTGTGAACCAAGGGCAGCAGAACTGTACCAGGCATACCCCGATGGAGGGACTCACCCTCAACTGAACAGCACTCGCAAGGCAGGGGACATGGGTTCCAAAGCCCAATGAGTTGAGAGAGGGTGTGGCTAGGTATTTGTACCTGGTGATATGGGCCCTCTTTAAGAGACCTAGACCCCATTTGATTCTTCTTCTCTTCACAAGTAATAAAAGAGCTAATTGAGAATTTTATTGTACCCTACAGAGCTGAAATCACTGATATTTAGGTCTAAGCATTAGACCTACTTTGAGGCAGTGTCTCTATTGCAAGACACTGCCCAGTATGCACCAGCAGTGAGGCTCCTGTAACAGCTGAAATCAGCTGTTAAGTGGTTGGCCCTGATGAGCAGCCAGCCAGGTGGCTGGTGGAAAGGTGTGGCAAGCAGCCAGCAGGGTGGCTGGCAGAGAGGGCCAGAGCAGAACCCCACAGAGAGGCATGGCAATTGGCTGGCAGGCCAACGAGCAAG